TGTGGAACAAGTTGAGAAATGTTATACTTGGTGTGACGCAGTTCCGTCACGGTTCAAAGAAGAAAGCTCAACGATCACTTTCATTAGGATCGGATATTGAATATGACCAAGTCAGCCGAATGAGCACTGACGAAGAAGGCTCGGAAGACAAAACTCACCAGATTGAATTAACGTCTGACTTGGGACAAGTTGATAAGTATAGTTCAGGCAAGATAGTTTTTTTTTCCTTCCTTTCATCGTGCATGTTGTCCCCCAAATGGGTCAGTGCTACATTTGAAGGCTTATAATGCTAAAAAACTGGGTTTCAAAGTCATGGTGGGCTCAGCACAGGAATCCAATCATGTAGATTAGTGCTTAACTACAAAGTATTATGTATGTGGTAATACAGTCTTTAGAGTGTCAGTTTAATACCACAGTGCGAAGTTCTGTTACAAATAGTTAACTATTTCTCTTTGTGATGTACATAGAAATCTGAATCTACCTGTGTTAATAGCAATCTGAATCTACCTGTGTTAATAGCCAGCTGAATCTACCTATGTTAATAGCAATCTGAATCTACCTGTGTTTATAGCAATCTGAATCTACCTGTGTTTATGTGTAGTAGATCTAACTGAATGTTTCTTCAAGTTTCCTGTCTTATTTAAGAACTTAGCTTGTACAGTTTTTGATTGTAAAGTATTTTATTCCCAGGAGGACAATCAGATGGTGGCTATAGCTCTATGAATGCAGAAGAAGCCCAGAAAGTGGCACTGATGCAAACACCTGTACAACCATCTGGTGTTGAAGGGACAAAAACAATCTCATCCGATCTGTTTAAACCAGATCTCCCTTCTGTGCAAGGTATTATTCAACAACACTTCTCTTTTCAAATTATAAACGTAAAGATCTCTTTTTGTGGTTGTTATTATTTTAGCAACAGGAATGAATTTAAATATATTTCAAATATTGTTGGTTTTATTCATTATTTTATATATTAGATATATATAGAAGTAATATGTCTATTTTGTTAATTGTTTGATCATTAGTGATATGTAAACTTTGTGAAACAGGCATTGTGTCCTAGACTATTTTTCACTGAAGTGTGAATGTTGTCATTGAGTTTGTAATTTCTTAGCACATGTGACACATATGTTTTGTAGCACAAGGTGTTTTTGTCCACCTGTTAACACTTATGTTTTTATCCACTTGTGATTTGTAGCATATTGTGATGTTGTCCACCTGTTGACACTTGTGTTTTGTAGCATATTGTGATGTTGTCCACCTGTTGACACTTGTGTTTTGTAGCATATTGTGATGTTGCCCACCTGTTGACACTTGTGTTTTGTAGCACATGGTGATGTTGTCCACCCGTTAACACTTGTGATTTGTAGCATATTGTGATGTTGTCCACCCGTTGACACTTGTGATTTGTAGCATATTGTGATGTTGTCCACCCGTTAACACCTGTGATTTGTAGCATATTGTGATATTGTCCACCTGTTAACACTTGAGATTTGTAGCATATTGTGATGTTGTCCACCTGTTGACACTTGCGATTAGTAGCATATTGTGATGTTGTCCACCTGTTAACACTTGCGATTTGTAGCATATTGTGATGTTGTCCATCCGTTGACACTTGTGATTTGTAGCATTAAGTGATGTTGCCCACCTGTTGACGCTTATGATTTGTAACATACTGTGATGTTGTCCACCTGTTGACGCTTGTGATTTGTAGCATATTGTGATGTTGCCCACCTGTTGACACTTGTGACTTGTAGCATATTGTGATGGTGTCCACCTGTTGACACTTGTGATTTGTAGCATATTGTGATGCTGTCCACCTGTTGACACTTCTTATGTATCAAAATGTTAATCCTTCCCAGCAGTAACTATGAAAAGTTTAAATAGATATTAAATTTGCCGTGAATTATCAAGATGTGATAACTCAGGAATTGAACTTGCCGTTAATGAAGGCTGTTGAGTAAACTTAGACACTAAAGTTACTTATGGATATGTGCAATCAGAGGTTGATGGTTTTTCTTTTCCAATATACTATGTGATACATTTTAAAATATGAATGGTTCTTTACGCAATGAACTAATTGTTACAAGTTCCATATAAATAAATGCATTTTTAGATTCACTTTTATTATTGTTATAAAACTTACTATTCGTACTTGTTGAAAGAAAGTAACAAACGTGACTGGATAAATAAAGATATGTACCAATGTGAATGTTTCACATTACATACAGTCGTTACCAGTTATGTTATCATACACACATTAATCAGAGAAAAACCTGTACTTAGTATGGTATGTGGGTGTTGTCTAGTATATGTTCTTTTTTCTATTATTTAAATTGATGTGTAATACTTATAATTTTTTAAACTTGAAATTGATGTGTAATGTTTATAATTTTTTTAAACTTGAAATTGATGTGTAATGTTTATAATTTTTTTAAACTTGAAATTGATGTGTAATGTTTATAATTTTTTTAAACTTGAAATTGATGTGTAATATTTATAAATTTTTAAACTTGAAATTGATGTGTAATATTTATAAATTTTTTAAACAACTGAGATGGACTTGAAATTTCCCTTTTTTATGATTCTTTCATTTATAATTTAAACTCATTACAACATTATGCAACCAATATTTATTTATTTATTCTGCTGTTTTCTTGAATTATTATTTTTTACTTCAGTAGGTTGTCCTGGATCCGTGAGAGCTTTGAAGTTCGACGATTTGGACTTCTCAGCCGCAGATGCTTTTAGGAACAGGGTTGGAAGTATAGTACGTAGTTCAGCCAGCAGCCTGAGTAGTCTGTCTGGGATGCCCGATATCTCAGGTTTGTGATCTGTTGACGGAACAGTAACTGTCATGTATAACACTTCCATAACACAAGAATGTGATATATGTGTTTTCTTCTTATACCCCCATTTCTAATAGATGATGAAGAATTTTTAAAGAAACTATCAAGCAGGTTTATTATTGTACTAGTAGCATAAAACTATTAATTTAAATCAAGAAAAAATAAGTAATGCTTCAGTTTTGTTTGCAGAAAAAAAAGGTTGTTTTCTTTATTGATTCTACAGAAGCAGTTAAAACCAAGGAGGTCAGAATCGTGTTTTCTCATATTACTTTAATCAAAGAAACATTTAACTTATTACGGTGTATATTCAGTAAGGTATTTTATCTTCAGAATTATTTATAGAAAAATATAATCACATTGGAAAAATACTCCAAATGTGTTTCTTCACAGTAAAATTTATTCGAAAATTCCTTCCATTACAAGATTGATTTTGTTTTATACATTTTCAAAATTGTGTTTTGTTAATGGTCTCTTTTAAGATATCATTAAAAAGAAATGTGCTTGTAAATGTGATGAATAATTCTCCTTAAAAATAAAGATGATTTGAGACAGTGTTGTTTTTCATCTAGTGGATAGCTATGCTGGAGTTCTGATCACAAGTCATCCGTTGCTGGTTGATAGTCCAACTAATGATGAGCAGGGTAACGAACATGGACGTAAACGACACAGAAGTGCAGGAAATCACGGGCGGAGAACTAGTCGAACGTATAGATTGAGACATTACAGTGGTCCATTAGCCCAGCCTCTAAATGAAGTTGACTCTCCTCAAATGTTTCTACGCTCCAGGAGCTTTGGCAATGATACCCAAATCATCCGAAAAATTAGGAATGAACCAGTAGCCCTCAAAGATCCAAAAGGAGTTGATCACAAAGAACCTCCGCTGTTGACTGTAACAGAAAATTCTGCTAGTACCTCTCCGACTTTAGGAGAGAACAAAGAACCAGCAAGAGTTTTAAAACTTAGTTGTTGTGAAGAAGAATCGGACACTGAACTTGCTACAGAATGTTCGGAAGAGACAATCACATCAACTATATTACCTCGTCCTAGATCACCTAATATCCCCATTAAAAGACGGGGTAAAACTCCTCAGAATGATCAAAGTATATCACCCGACTTCCATTCCTCACTACCTGAAAATGGTAGTTACCACAGTAGTTCCTGTGGTAGTAATGACAGTGAATTACAGGAAACTCAAGAGCAGGATTTTATTACATCCACCTTCAGTCCTCTGAAAGAGACCTGGTTTAATTGGGAGTATTTTACAACTAATTCACTTCCTCGAGTAGCATCTAGTCTTAGCTCGACGTTAGGATTGAGCAGTGGTGATGGTGGGAAAGTTACCCGCAGCTCAACCTTTCATGGCCCTACACACAGATCCTCGAATAGTTCACTTACGAGTAAGCTAACAGCTGATGACTCTGTAGAAGCTGCAAGCGGCAGAACTACTCCATCTTATTCTGTGACTCTCCCAGCAACTCCAGAATCAAAAAGGAGCTTAAAGATTGTTGGAACAAGGACTCCCGGTCGACCATTTTCGGTTAGCATGTCTTCATTTAGGTTACCTAAATTAACGTCTAAGCATGCAGAAATGTTTGACAGCCTGATGTCGGCAGCTAATTCAGTTGCCACTAAGTTTACTGAGCTCAAACAGTCCTGGTCAACATCCAATACTCCAACAAAGGGTAAGAGCTAGTAATAAATACTGATATTTATAATGATGCTTTTTAATTCATACAACTTGTTTATGTTTTGTTTTTTGCTAGGATTATATTTTTATTTTTGGGGGAAGATTTAATGTAAAGCTGTGAGTAAAAACTAAAAATAACACAGAAAAAAACTTCAGCTTAACAGTTGAAGACTTAGGCACAGTTTGAAATTTTTACGTTGATAGTGGTATCTCAGTCATAATGTTATGTATACCCCATAGCTGTATGAAAAGTGCATATAATTAGGAAATCACCTTCACAAAACTTGCAGTTTTGTTAAGTTCCTCTCATTAAATACAATGTTAACTTTAGTTACAGGTACATAAGTTACCGTACTACAAATAAGTTTGGTGTACTTGAGCATATATCTGCAATAACATTAATCGTTTTTTTTCAAGTTCTGTATTTGTTCCACTAAGTCCAGAGTGGCTCATTAGCAATTTGTTTGTTTGTTTGTTTTGAATTT